TCCCCGCCCTGACCTCTATAGAAGCCATCAGCTCATGGACACAGGAAAGTTTCAGCCCCCTTTGCTCACCAGTCAGATGGCTTCAGAGGCAGAGTTCTGGGGCCACAGTCAACATCTGTTGTTCCGTCCACACCACCTCCAATCAAAGACAAGCTCTTGAGAGCTCATGAGCACTGAAACCTGCAGAGATTTCTTGCTTCTTCTGTTGTCCAGCCAGGGAAGGTTTTTTTGAGACCCCAACAAATAGCAACAGCTTTCCAATCAGAGAGCTGCTCCACGTTGCCTGCTGCCAGCCCAGGAAGCCAACAGAGGTCCAATGGAGCACATACTCACACTAGGTGAGCTTGAGAGCCAAGTCAGGGTGTTCCTGACCCCTGAAGAATCTGTCTTCAATGAGAACCCTGCACACCCCAGGCTGCCGACAGCTGAGAACTAGACACTGGTCTAACTGTCTGTTGAAGTGGCTTCTCTGGCCCCTCCCAAGCTCCCTGAGGGACTCTCCCTTGTACAGAGCAGGTGCAAAGCAGCTCTCTGTCTGAAGACTGAAGACTAAAAGCTCCAGGCTGCCAAACAACTGCTTTAAAATGTTGACAAAGCCTCTGTTAGGGTACCCCCAACTGATTTCTGCCAGAGTGGGCTCCACCAATCCTGATTTAGGTGAGAGAGTGTGTGATCGCTGTCTCTCAACAACAGAGAAGAAAACTCCTGATAATGCATCTCCAGTTCCTGTTGCTAAATTGAACGGCTTCTCTCCTTCCATAATTAAACTGAATATAAGCTTCATTTTCAATTCATGCCTGCACACCGACTCCAGGTCCGTCCTACTTGATGTCCTCACATTTGTTCTGTATCATGGACCATGGGGCTATTTTTTCAGGAAGAGAAAATATCTACTCCATGTGAGAGGTTTTTATTTCTCTGCTTTGTGACTGTACCCTCTGTTTATATCATAGATAGTAATAAAGTATCCCTACAACCCCAAAAAAATGTTGACAAAGTTCCAGACAGCCTACCTGATTGGAGGCTAAATCAAGGAGATTGGGAGAGAAAAGAGAAACCCAGAATGGAGCCAGTCAGAGTGGGAAAATTCGATGGATTCAAGCTCACACAAGGGCCAGGATTTGAGAATCAGAAGGTGCAAGTAATCCTTTGGCTCTTTTTAAGAGACCAGGATTCCAAGCTGCTCCTAGGCCCCTACTCTCACCTTTTTTTCCCACAACCAGCTGTCTTCTCCCCTTTTTTTATCCAGCTACTAAGAGGCCAACCTGAGAAAGAAGTGTTGAAATATCGGGTTTCAGCCTTTGCCCAGGGCTGGCGCTGACTAGGAGCCAGACTGATAGGGAGGGCCCTCCTGGAAGCCTCCAGTTTCCACATCTGCACATGTGGCTTGGATGGCTAGCTCCTCACTCACGGGATAGCCAGGAGAGTTCTAACTGACATCCTGGGCTCAAAGGCTAGGACAAAGCCAGACACATATAAATCCTGCATAGGACAGCACAGAGAGCTTGTAGGGACACGGAGGGGCATGACAGGAGGAGTTAAGAGCTATGTTAGCTGACGTCTGCTAACAAAGGAGAATGTATTCATGTGTGGCATGTATAATTGGAAATTTTGAGACTATAACATGGGTGGCACATAGTGATATTTACCACAGAAAAGCGGTCGTTAAAATGAACTTACTTCAATGGAGAAGGTTTCTTCATAGAAAGTGATCCTTAAAGCCCAACTGCATAACTGAACAAAATTATGCTCTGAGGACACTGATGGGAACTTCTACTAGCCCTTTCCTTCTGCTGGGTCTCAGTGATGCAGAACACAGAGAAAACTAGGCTCTACACAATTCCAAGCTAATAGGCAGTAAAATGCTTCTGTGTTCCTCTAATCCCGGGCCTAGATGGTCCATGGTGGTAAGCAGCAATGTCCTAGGAAAGTTTTCTCCCCTGTCACCATACGTAAATGAGTTTCTTCTCATATCCATGCCTACTGGACACGCAGCTTCCCCATGGGGAGAGTCACAATTTTGGATAGAGGGGAATATAATAAGAAAACAAATGCTCCAGATGGATCGTAGCCTAAGGGACAAGCAGAGGATCCTGCTATTAACCGTTTTGTCCCTGTGCCTCAGTGCTGACTTCTCGGGCTGCCACAGAGATAAATCAAGAAAGCTTTGACTGCAGTTCAGGTTTGCTCTGGGAGACCTCCTAGGTGGGGCAGGCAATTGGAAGGAACCCACCCCTAGTCTTGTCAGAGGCGGCTGAGCAGCCACACTGCAGGGTAGAGAGAGGCAGACAGGGCACATGCAAGGACTCCACCTGAGCTCACCTACCTCAGGAGGTGTTCCTCCAGGGGGGCCACCAGGCTGTTTGTTTGCAACTCAGCTAAATTGCTCCCAGGAGGGAGCCTTTGTTTCACAACATATTTGCAACCAGACTTTTTTTTGAAAACATGTCCTGTCTGCACAGGCACAGGAGCACCCGGGCACCAAAGGGCAGGTTTCACCCAACCTAGTTGCAGCCCTCTCTTCCTTGTAGGTTCCCTGTGGAGCCAAATTGGGATGGAATAAAAGAGGTGCCCTTAGGCTAACGATATGAGGGATGACTTCTTGGTGTCTGTTTAATAAGCCTATCTCTCCTCTAGGTTTGCCTTTCACAGTACCAAAGGCAGTGGAAGCATCGTGATGGTGGCAGGAAGTGCCACATGCTGCCTTTGTGTGAACTGATGGGTTGTTCCAACCAGCTGTTTCTCTGCATTGTGGATCCCTGTTGTGGGTTATTTGTACACTGTGTGAAAATGCATTGCTGTTACTGTTGTAATAAAAAGTCAAATGGCCAATAGCTAAAGAGGAGGTATAGGTGGGGATTTCTAGGCAGAGAGAGAGGAAGTAGGAGACGAATCTAGGCATGCAGGAGATTCCAAGAAACATGGAGGGAGTCAGAGATACAGAGTGAAAGAAAGGTAAAAAGCCATGAGACAAAATATAGGTTAATATAAATGGGTTAATTTAAATATAAGAGCTAGTGGGACAAGTCTAAGCTATAGACTGAGATTTCATAATTAATAAATCTCCATGTCATTATTTGGGAGCTGGCTAGTGGGCCAGAGAAAGACTCATTACATTTCTCATTCTTCCCTGGGGCTGCAAAGAGTAGAGGGAATGTCTTCCACAAAGTCTCTCTATCCCACTCTTAGTTCTTGGGTGTGCTCTGACTCTCCAGGGTCCATTTACAGGGGCAGATAGTGCTCTTGGCTCTCCTGGTGCAAAACACTTATGATCAGGTAGTGTCTTTTTTATTCTAAAGGGGTTTCCTCCAGCACCTCACTACCCTTTCTGCTCTGGGGCCAGAGAGAAAACCTGCCAAGCATCTCTTAAGTAGCCTTATGTCACCTTCTAGCAGGGTGAGGCTCCAAGGCCACATGTCTAGGGTCCCACTGAGCTGACTGCAGGCCTTGTATCTTCATCTCAGAAGCACATCAGCTCCCAGAACATTTGGAATAGAGGAAGCCTTGCACTGCACAGAGTTCCCTAAGGATGAGAGAGAGGTAACAGGGTAATGGCCAAAGAGAATTTGGAACTCAAAACTCTTCTCCCTTTGCCATTTCTGTCTCACCTCCTCCTCTCCCCTATTCTCTCCCCTCTTTCTATCCCCCACCCCCTATACACAGTTCTCTCCATATTTGATGACGTGGTCTCCTACAAATGGAGAAGTCTTGATAGATTTGGCTGTCTGGGGAAGTTCCCCTTAGCCACAAAGGTGATGTAAAAGTTCTAGGTTCCCAAGCCACAAAGATTTGCCTTGGTTACTTTCTTGCCACCGAGTCCCTCTCCCATTCATTCCATCAGAGCTCTCGAGAGCTAAGCATCTCTGTAGATGAGTCTCTCGCATACACAAATCTGGACTCTGATAGTGTAGACGTTAACTCCAAACCAAAAAGCAATCGACCTTAAAGCCATCAAATGTCTGTCATCCACTTGGTCCCAGGGAAAGGAGTAGCAGCCAAGTAAGCCTCCCTAGTTAACTGGGCTATCTGAGATGTGACTTTTAGGTCTTCAGGTACAAAAGGTAGTACTGTAGCCCCTAGAGCTCTCTCAGGACCTCATCCTCAGACACTCAGTAGGAAGCAGACCATTCCCTAGCCTGGAACGTGGAAGAACCTAGCTTACACACAATGTTTTCCTGTCTTGCTAGAAAACCCCAAAGACCTGTAGTTCTTCTCAGGAACTCATTTTTTTTCATTGGGAAAATGGAAATATTTCTGGCCCTTTCTATGACATTTTTTTCTGATTGAGTCTCTAGAACACCTGACCTGTCCTTCAAGCAATCATTGACATAATACCAATGAGAAGGACTGTCTGAAGCCTTGCCTGGGCTAAAGACAGAGAGGGTGGAGAATGGTAGACAGTAGAGGACACCAGGAACCTTGGGGCAATGGCAACTCAATCCCAGACATGCTGCCTTAGACCAAAAGGCTATCCCCTTGTGTATCTCCCCAACCCTGCCAAAAGTGAGGTTTAGATAAAGAACTTCTGGCACCAGGCTTTGTTGTGATCATGAAGCTTTTATTGAGCATGTTCTCAGAGCAAAGGTTTGAGCAGTGTGGGGCCAAACAAAAGAAGGAATACAAAACCAAACCCTGTCCACAGAGGATGGAAGAAAATAAACGCTGGCTTACAAAGGCCAGGGTCACAGAGCCCAGCTCTATGGGCAGTCAGGTTAGATAGTGTTCATGCCGGTGTTTCTGTTAGGGCTCGTGCCATCCTCTAATCTCTCCAGAGCACCTGTCTGATGCTGCCCCGTGGTTCTCCAGCCTTGCAGAAGCTAGAATCTCATAATAGAGGGAGCTCATCTCCAGGCAGAAGGACTGAGCAGAAGGCTAAAATGATCCAACTGCTACCTGGGAGCTGCTGGGAGATCGAATGGGGTGGATAAGGGCATCTCTGAAAGCAAAGGGAAGAGGAGAGGAAGCGATGGCTCTAGCAAGGCTGTAATATTTGTGAAATTTCACTGGTGCATCCAAAGCCACAGGTTGGCTACGCAGAATAATACCAGCAGACTACAGAGCACAGCCTCCTTATGGCACCAGATGACATCCCAGTCCTCAAGGGCATGCAGCCGCCCAGAAATGACTTGCATCTATGGAGGGACCAAACACAGGCCTTGTGAAGAGGAATCTCTCTTATGAGAAAGGCAAGCCGGGCGGTGGTGGCGCACGCCTTTAATCCCAGCACTTGGGAGGCAGAGGCAGGCGGATCTCTGTGAGTTCGAGACCAGCCTGGTCTACAAGAGCTAGTTCCAGGACAGGCTCCAAAGCCACAGAGAAACCCTGTCTCGAAAATCCAAAAAAAAAAAAAAAAAAAAAAAAAGAGAGAAAGGCAAGACTTAACGGTAGGGGGAAAGTATGACCTTCAAACAAAATGAATCTTTGTTCCGCCTTCCATCTCATTTTCTCTTCCCTAATTCCTGTCCAGCATCTCCAGCATAAAAGAAAATTAAGGGTGAGATCAACATGAGGTTCCCAAGCCATAAGGCCTGAGAAGAGATAGGGGAGCCCAACCTCACTTCATTTGCTACAGGAGATGATGCGACAAAGGCTATGAAAATTCAGGGGGTAGCTCTTTTCATAGCTGCAAAAAACACCCACTCCCAGACACTATGATGCTTTTTCCAACTGCACAGCAGATGCGTACTCACCTGCTTTCTCATGACTTCTATCTCCAGCCCATTGAGTTCTTCCAGGCCAATCTCTGCCACTATATCTGCCTCCAGACTGTTGGGAGGAAAGGTGACACAGGTCAGAGGTGCTGTTGGTCATAGAAAATAGATACAGCAATCAGGTAAGCCTGGAAGCTTTTTGGATAAAACTCCAACCCTTCCCTTGTGTAGTAAAGAGGGCTGAGGGTTTGCCAGAGCATATGAAGATTCCAAATGGCCAGGAGGCAAAAGTACCCTAATACTTAAGGTACATTCAACTACTTCTTGACTTGGATGCTCACCAGTCTCTATGGCCCTGACCCTGGCATGTTCCTCCCCAAGTAGCCAGGAACAAGACGGTTGAGCTCTTACTGCTCATAAGGACCCCGCCCCTTGGAAGTTGCCAGAAAAGTCCTGGAGATGGGCATCCCCATGCCTCTGATCTCTTGGCACCGGGGCATCTGCATTTGGTGTCCCTACAGAAAGAAGAAAACACCATTTCAAGTCACCTGTTCAGCCCCATATTGTGCCAGAATCAACAGTGCACCCCACAATGTCATCATCTTCCTGTACCCCCCACTGCCTATTGGTAGCTTGCTGTGTCAAGAGAAATGTAGTAATGTTCTTTGTCCTCTGGTAGAACTTTTACATGCAGGTATCCCTTGAAAGGCCAATCTACTTCTTGAAGAAGAATGTAAACACTCAATTTGATTTTAAGTAATTTAAAAAGAAACATTTCATACCATGGAGGTTTATAAAGAATTGTATAGTCATTCCTTGGTTCCCATGGGGACTGTTTCTGGAACAACCCCCTCCCTGTGGTTACCCAAGTCTACAGATTCTCAAGTCCCTTGTGTAAAAGGTCATAATATTAGAATATAGCACAAGCATATCTTCTTATATAATTGAAATAATTTTATATCACTTATAATGTCTAAAAAAATGTAAATGCTATCTAAGTAGTTCTTATACTGTATTGTGTAGAGAATCATGGCAAGAAAAAATCCTGCATGTGTTTTCTTTTTTTTTTTTTTTAATAATTTTTTTTATTAAGAAAAGAAGAAAAAAAAACATAAACAAAAAACAAGTTTCCACCTCCTCCCAGCCTCCCATTTCCCTCCCCCTCCTCCCACCCTTCTCCCCCTCCTCCCACCCTTCTACCCCTCCCCCCACTCCTCTCCCCCTCCCTCTCCAGTCCACAGAGCAGTCCAGGTTCCCTGCCCTGTGGTAAGTCCTAGGTCCTCCCCCCCTCCGTCCATATCTAGGAAGGTGAACATCCAAACTGGCTAGGCTTCCACAAAGCCAGCACATTAAGTAGGATCAAAACCCCGTGCCATTGTCCTTGGCGTCTCATTAGCCCTCATTGTTCGCCATGTTCAGAGAGTCCGGTTTTATCCCATGCTTTTTCGGTCACAGTCCAGCTGGCCTTGGTGAGCTCCCAGTAGATCAGCTCCACTGTCTCAGTGGGTGGGTGCACGCCTCGTGGTCCCGACTTCTTTGCTCATGTTCTCCCTCCTTCTGCTCCTCATTGGGACCTTGGGAGCTCAGTCCAGTGCTCCAGTGTGGGTCTCTGTCTCTGTCTCCATCCATCACCAGATGAAGGTTCTATGATGATATACAAGATATTCGTCAGTATTGCTCTCGGATAGGGTCATTTCAGGTTCCCAATCCTCAGCTACCCAAGGAACTAACTGGGAACCTCATGTTGGGCACTTGGGAGCCCGTCTAGGGTCAAATCTCTTGCTCACCCTAAAGTGGTTCCCTTAACTAAGAATTGTGGTTCCGTGCTCCCCTATCCACCTTTCCTTTATCCCAATTCTCCTGATTCCCTAAATCCCCCCTCCTTCCCTTCTACCTTTTCTCTCCCCATCTCCCCTTACCCCCATCCCACCCCACCACCAAGATCCTAATTTTCTCCCCGGCGATTGGGTCTACTTCCCTTAGCCAAGAGGATAACTATATGTTTTTCCTTGGGTTCACCTTCTTACTTAGCTTCTTTAGGTTCACCTATTGTAGACTCCGTGGCCCTAATTTATGGCTAGAAACCAATTATGAGCGAGTACATCCCAAGTTCATCTTTTTGGGTCTGGGACACCTCACTCAGGATAGTGTTTTCTATTTCCATCCATTTGCCTGCAAAATTCGAGAAGTCATTGTTTTTTACCGCAGCGTAGTACTCTAGCGTGTATATATTCCATACTTTCTTCATCCATTCTTCCATTGAAGGGCATCTAGGTTGTTTCCAGGTTCTGGCTATTACAAATAATACTGCTATGAACATAGTTGAACAAATGCTTTTGTCATATGATAGAGCATCTCTTGGGTATATTCCCAGGAGTGGTATTGCTGGGTCCAGGGGTAAGTTGATCCCGAATTTCCTGAGAAACCGAAACACTGACTTCCACAGTGGTTGCACAAGATTGCATTCCCACCAGCAATGGATGAGGGTACCCGTTCCTCCACAGCCTCTCCAGCAAAGGTTATCCTTGGTGTTTTTGACTTTAGCCATTCTGACAGGTGTAAGATGATATCTCAAAGTTGTTTTGATTTGCATTTCCCTGATTGCTAAGGAAGTTGAGCACGACTTTAAGTGTCTTTTGGCCATTTGAACTTCCTCTGCTGAGAATTCTCTGTTCAGTTCAGTGCCCCATTTTTTAATTGGGTTAATTAGCATTTTAAAGTCTAGTTTCTTGAGTTCTTTATATATTTTGGAGATCAGACCTTTGTCTGTTGTGGGGTTGGTGAAGATCTTCTCCCAATCAGTAGGTTGCCTTTGTGTCTTATTGACTATGTCCTTTGCTTTACAGAAGCTTCTCAGTTTAAGTAGGTCCCATTTATTCAATGTTGCCCTTAATGTCTGTGCTTCTGGGGTTATACATAGGAAGCGATCTCCTGTGCCCAGCTCCTGTAGGGTACTTCCCACTTTCTCTTCTATCAGGTTCAGTGTGTTCGGGCTGATATTGAGGTCTTTAATCCATTTGGACTTGAGTTTTGTGCACGGTGATAGATAAGGGTCTATTTTCATTCTTCTACAAGATGACATCCAGTTGTGCCAGCACCATTTGTTGAAGATGCTTTCTTTCTTCCATTTTATACTTTTAGCTCCTTTATCGAAAATCAGGTGTTCATAGGTTTGTGGGATAAAATCCGGGTCTTCTATACGATTCCATTGGTCGACTTCTCTGTTTTTATGCCAGTACCACACTGTTTTCATTACTGTAGCTCTGTAATAGAGTTTGAAGTCAGGGATGGTAATGCCTCCAGAAGATCCTTTATTGTATAGGATTGTTTTGGCTATCCTGGGTTTTTTGTTTTTCCATATAAAGTTGATTATTGTCCTCTCCAGATCTGTGAAGAATTTTGATGGGATCTTGATGGGGATTGCATTGAATCTATAAATAGCCTTTGGTAGAATTGCCATTTTTACTATGTTGATCCTCCCAATCCAAGAGCAAGGGAGGTCCATCCATTTTTTGGTATCCTCTTCAATTTCTTTCTTCAATTCCTTAAAGTTCTTGTCAAATAGATCTTTCACTTCCTTGGTTAGATGTACCCCAAGATATTTTATGCTGTTTTTGGCTATTGTGAATGGTGAAGCTTCTCTGATTTCCCTCTCTGCTTCCATATCCTTTGTGTATAAGAGGGCGACTGATTTTTTGGAGTTGATCTTGTATCCTGCCACATTACTAAAGCTGTTTATCAGCTGTAGGAGTTCTTTGGTGGAGTTTTTGGGGTCGCTTATGTACACTATCATATCATCTGCAAATAACGAAAGTTTCACTTCTTCCTTTCCAATTCGAATCCCCTTGATTCCATTATGTTGTCTTATTGCTATTGCTAGAACTTCAAGCACTATATTGAAGAGGTATGGGGAGAGTGGACAGCCTTGTCTTGTTCCTGAGTTAAGTGGGATGGCTTTGAGTTTCTCTCCGTTTAATTTGATGTTAGCTGTCGGCTTGCTGTATATAGCTTTTATTATATTTAGGTATGACCCTTGTATCCCTAATCTCTCCAAGACTTTTAACATAAATGGATGTTGAATTTTGTCAAATGCTTTTTCAGCATCTAATGAAATGATCATATGGTTTTTTTCTTTCAGTTTATTTATATGCTGGATTACATTGATAGATTTTCATATGTTGAACCAGCCCTGCATCTCAGGAATGAAGCCTACTTGATCATAATGGATAATTTTTCGGATGTGTTCTTGGATTCGATTTGCCAGTATTTTGTTGAGGATTTTTGCGTCGATATTCATGAGTGAGATTGGCCTGTAGTTCTCTTTCCTGGTTGAGTCTTTGAGTGGTTTTGGTATCAGAGTAATTGTGGCTTCATAAAAGGAGTTTGGTAATGACCCTTCTGTTTCTATATTGTGGAATACATTAAGGAGTATAGGTATTAGATCTTCTTGGAAGTTCTGGTAGAATTCTGCATTGAAACCATCTGGTCCTGGGCTTTTTTTGGTAGGGAGGTTTTTGATAACCTCTTCTAATTCTTCGCGACTAACAGGTCTATTTAGATTGTTCACCACGTCCTGATTTAACTTTGGTATATGATATTTATCTAAAAAAGTATCCATTTCCTTTACATTTTCCAATTTTGTGGCATATAGGCTTTTGTAGTAAGATCTAATGATTCTCTGAATTTCCTCTGTGTCTGTGGTTATGTCCCCCTTTTCATTTCTGATCTTATTAATTTGCAAATTCTCTCTCTGCCGTTTGATTAGCTTGGATAGTGGTTTGTCAATCTTGTTGATTTTCTCCAGGAACCAGCTTTTTGTTTCATTGATTTTTTGTATTGTTTTCTGTGTTTCTATTTTGTTGATTTCAGCCCTCATTTTGATTATTTCCAGTCTTCTACTCCTCCTAGGTGAGTCTGCTTCTTTTTTTTCTAGAGCTTTCAGGTGGGCTGTTAAGTCTCCAATGTGAGCTTTCTCTGTTTTCTTTAAGTGGGCACTTAGTGCTATGAACTTTCCTCTTAGGACTGCTTTCATAGTGTCCCATAAGTTTGAGTATGTTGTTTCTTTATTTTCATTGAATTCCAGGAAGACTTTAATTTCTTTCTTTATTTCTTCCTTAATCCAGCTATGGTTCAATAGTTGACTGTTCAGTTTCCATGACTTTGTATGCTTTCTGGGGGTAGCATTATTGTTGAATTCTAACTTTAATCCATGGTGATCTGATAAGACACAGGTGGTTACTAATATTTTTTTGTAACTGTGGATGTTTGCTTTGTTACCGACTATGTGGTCGATTTTCGAGAAGGTTCCATGAGCTGCAGAGAAGAAGGTATATTCTTTCCTATTTGGATGGAATGTTCTATAGATGTCTGTTAAGTCCATTTGATTCATTACCTCCACTAATTCTCTTATTTCTCTGTTAGGTTCCTGTCTGATTGACCTGTCCATTGGTGAGAGAGGAGTGTTGAAG